GATTGGTAACCAGTGCTAATTGTCAACCAGGTAGTTTATCAGATATTTCTGATGGAATAAAACAGGTAAGTTATATTATGTTTATAATATGCTAAATATCAAGTATGATATCTTTAAATAAGTTGTAATATTTATACATAATGAAATCCAAGCTCGAGATGAGCAGAGTTCATTTCAGATGCATGGACCCCATAACACATCAGGAACAACATCTGAGCTTGCCTGGCCTGCACTGCAGAAAGGCAAGAGAAGAGAATCTTTGGAGTATCAGTCCAATGTTGTAAGGAATAACACTATGGTGAATCTCACCTGGCATGGAAGGAAGTTGCATAGTACTCCAAGCTGAGGATATAGTATTCCCATCTTGAGGTTATCTTGAGATGATTTCGGGGCTTTTTAGTGTCCCCGCGGCCCGGTCCTTGACCAGGCCTCCACCCCCAGGAAGCAGCCCGTGACAGCTGACTAACACCCAGGTACCTATTTTACTGCTAGGTAACAGGGGCATAGGGTGAAAGAAACTCTGCCCATTGTTTCTCGCCGGCGCCTGGGATCGAACCCAGGACCACAGGATCACAAGTCCAGCGTGCTGTCCGCTCGGCCGACCGGCTCCCTCGCTCGGCCGACCGGCTCCCTCCCATGACCAGGAGATTGATACATGCCATCTAACCTAGTAACCTAAGGTTGAGCCGAAGGATCAAAAAAGAAACCAAAATGGATCTCGTACCACAGTCCTAAGACAAACCACATCATCCAACAATGGAGAGGAGAAAAAAAAAAAAAAAAAAAAAAAAAAAGAGGGAGAGGTTGGCCTCTTAGCCAGGTCAAAAATAATAATCAAACCCCAAAAAATGTAGATGATGTCCTTGTAGGAAGGAAAGGGTGGGGGGGGGAATAAGAGAGCTCTGACTTCTGAAGCAAGCCCACCATGGGAAAAGTAGACAAACTTTTAAAGTTCCAATTCCGCTTCAACAACTGCTTGTACGAGACAAGATTAAAGTCGCTTAGTATGTGCAGCAAGTGGAGAAAAGGGAAGTCAGATGCTTAGCAGCCACAACAGGTCCTAGAAAATCTAGACTGAAATTGACAAGTCATGAGGGCCAGATGGGCCTGCAATGTCACCCACACCAGCTAATAGTAGCAGTTCTGTCTTTCGATATGAGCACAAGACCCCAAAGTTCAGCTACAGTGTACAAGCTTTATGCAAAGTTGGTGGCTCAAAATATGACAGACAACACACAGGCTGAATATGACCTAAATCAAACATGGAATGTTATGCAAATAGGATGATATTTTGGGTAAAGAAACTGTTTATTACCAATCCTTCAAATGTAACGAGCAGTATTAGGCCAGTCCCCAAAGTGTCGTGTCACTACAAAAAACAATTGGTGAAGCAAAGTAAAGACTCAGTCAGTGCCATGTCACTAAACCTGTCCTGCAGTAAGGAACAGATGTCTGGTAACCAAGGCAGCTCTAAGCTAACCCGTACTGAACCCAATCAAAACAATTGGCCCATCCTTACTAAAGACAAGGATGGGCGAGTGAAGCCAATGGCAAGAATATAAGAAAAACAAAAATGCACAACCTGGCAATAAAGCCAGTCATGGATGGCTGTTTAATTTTAATAATACATTCTCAGCACAAACTCCTGTCCTGAAACCACAATGTAGTGAGATGCTTTAGAGAATAATCACTACTACCGAAAGCATGAATTTCCCAGGCACAGATAAGTCTTGTTTACACATACAGTACACGAGAAGTGGTCACTAATATAGCAGAAACCAACTGAACAAAAACAAAATTTGTAATGTACAACCAAAATACTAAGCTCACAAGGATAACATTTGCTATCAAGTTTTAATGTGAATGCACATTCTGGGCTGGATGAGTATTATCCAGCATCTCCCTAATACCAGTATGAAAAGTTCCAAGTTATGCTGGTGAAGAATATCAATTTCCTCTAACAGCAAGATTATAACCAGGGGTTAGTTAGATCCAGTCTTAGAGAGCAGCCAAGAGGGACAGCTAAGAATTAATAATGTTAATATCTAATTTAGATCTTTGTAAATAGCAGTACAGTGTTATTACTCTTTTCAATGAGCATGTACAGTAACGAGAAGACTTTCAACAGAAGAAGAATAAAACCTGCATCCTACTGCATGTGTAAAACTGTCAAGAAAAAAACAGTAGCTATAGGCAATTACAATTATATTAATTTATCATATCAAACAAGTAGTGCTCCTGCTACATACCCCAATATACCTTAGTATGAAAATCTATTTAATGACAAACAGTAAAATACTAACATGCAGAAATGCTCCCAAGATGTGTACATCACTCAATGACAGTCCAAGTGTCATTTGTCCTAAGTGAGAGTACGTAGTGAACGAATAAATGTTGAACAATATTCATCTTCCAAAGTTGTTAAAATGTCATTGGTCAAAATAATTGCATTTACAAGTGTTGCATCATCCTTCACTCATGATATGTAAAAGTCAGGCACTAGAACATTATGCTGCTACTTATTCAAATCTAACATGTTGACCTCTTCACGTTACAAGTTACACTATCACAGATAATCGATATCACATTTTATAATGTATACCTAAGAGATATTTTAAGGGATCAAACAACAGAACTCGAGTATTACAGCATATCTGCCAACATTTTCAATAGCTTTCAATACTATTGTATTTAAGATGACAAATTACATATTGCAATATTTCAATACTAAACCCAAATACAGTATTGTATTAAAGATAAAATGTTGCCACCATTTTCTTCCTTCTCAAATGTGTGTTTTAGTGTGCTTTGGTTTTTACCCCAACACTGACTTAAATATTCCAATATATATGTTGTAATTGCAGGAATATTATTATCCCTGCTGATATTTTAGTTCAGATTGGAAACCCGAGAGTATTAGGTACCATTTTAAAATTACTTCAATATATTTGTCCGTATATAAACTGCACATTGAAAAAATCGGGGACAAAATTGGAGGGTACAGCTACAATACAATACCAAATCATGATAAATATTGTCAAGATACTCATCTGAAAGATGAGGCAATGTTTGCATTCATAACTTGAAACATTAAACTATAAAAAAAACTAATTACACAGTACGGTATTTCAATTATTAAAAAATTCTAACAAATTATTAATGATCACAAATGTATCAATCATGCTACATCCCGTTGTACACCTAGAGTATGTAAATTCTAACACTAGATGCTTCAAATATACCTTACACTCGTCTAAGGAATAAGCAAAGTATCTTAATTCTTCAAATACTATAAAACCTAAAAAAAAAAACAAATTTTTAAAGCCAGTTTTATACCAGTATTTAGAACATATGGGGAACTGGTAATCAAATAAGGAAACAAAAGGAATGTTTGTTAATTCTTCAGATACAGTAGAATTTTAAATATTTGATCAAGACACAATAAGTGCACTTAAAATGACAGGGTAAACAGTTGGTATCATACACAAACTATAACATAAATGGAAACTTCATTGCCTAGCAAGGTTACCCACTTGTTCATCAGTCACCAGTGAAGCTTGGGCGAGTGCGCACACATTGCTCATGGCACTTGACTTCACCACACAGCCCCGATGCTTATATAGAATACAAATTTAAGACCCTTACCATGCCTCCAAAGACTTATTTATTTTATTCATATATAATTATGAACAATATGTCAGTGTCAAACCATGAAGGAAGGATGAAGACAGGAATTTCCTGAAGTACTTTCGTATTTAATAATACATCTTCAAAAGGATCCTTCTGAAGAGGTATTAAATAAATAAATAAATAATAAATAAATAAATTTTATATATATATATATATATATTAATTACTGGATACTGTATATATATTATATATAATATGCAGGGAATGAGAGGTCGATTAGACCACAGTAGTGAGTGGTGGGGTTCCCATAGCCTGCTTGGTTAAGGTAAAGCTGTAGATAGTAGTTTAAGAAAAATTTATTACTTCTTAAAAGGTAATTTTGAATGGAACATAAGTTTTATATTAGGTATAAAGTAACAGTTCAACTTCAGCATGACTCACAATTGGGGTCCAAACATTTTTGCATGAAATACTGTACAGTGGAATCTCAGTTTTCGTATTTTTCAGTTCTCATACTCGATTTCTTTAAAAAATTTGATTTGGTACTTGTTGTTTGCCTCGGTTTTTGGAGTTTGTTTATACACGTACGGGTCCACTGAGCGAGTGGCACTTCAGTTTTCCAGTGTCTGCCGCCTAGTGATGATCGCATTTGAATTTTTTCTGAAAAATTTCACTGTTCTTTTTTTTTTTGGTTTCTGAACATGAAAGTTCTAATTATATATCACACTGTGGGTTCCAAGAAAGTCAGTGGTAATGTTCAACCTAAGAAAATTGGTGCGAGGATGACAATAGAGGAATAACAAGAGATCGTTCATAATGAGAATGTGATTGTCTCACTACAGACAAGTGTTAAAATGTATGGAAAAACAAATGTCTATAGACATTCTTAGCAAGACAAGCAAGCAGTGAGCCACAACCAGGTCCTAGTGGTATGCCTGCAAAACGTAGGAAAGAGAGTACCCCAGAAATGTCATCACTGCTGTTATAATGGAAGTGGGACTCCCCTTCCAAACACTAACACCTCTCCTCCTCCCCTCCTTCCTCACTGTCTAACATATGCCAATGAGTCCTCAATAAAGGTAAGGTACCTAAGAGTATTATTCTGTATAAAATAAATTTTTTAGTTAATATATTTGAGGTGTGTGGAATGGATTAATTCAATTTACATTACTATTTCTTATGGGAAAATTCGTTTCGGTTTTTGTACCTTCTCTGGGAACGGATTAAATACATAAACTGAGGTACCACTATATATCCAACACTCAACCTATAGCTAACAATGGGATGTTGGGGGGGGGGGGGCAGTTTATACTCGTGCAAATACTGTGTTTCATGTATTTACTTTTTGAGGGAAAAGAATTATTACACTGTGTGGCTACCTGATTTAATTGGAAACAAATCCTGAAAATACCAATTTTCCTAAAGTGCACAACAATGTGAAGTAGATACACACACATGCTGCTTGCAATCCATTTACAAGGCAAATGCAAATGGCTTAGAGACAAATAGTAATATAAATTATTTCTGCCAAGTTTTGAACTATGAAGGACACATGTGTCGAGTCTAAAAAAATGCACCAGATTAGCATCTATGCTGAATACCCATAAGACTTAAATGATTTTAGGTCAATCTAGCAAGTGAGGAAATGTTAGCTGACTTTAATTTCACTGAGTGTATGTTCATCTTTGGTTACACACTGTGTAATTAATGAATTATCTACAGGAAAGCTGGGGCTGCCATTGACAGAAACTTTATTAAAGTTCTCATCTTTGTGGAATGTCTTCTTGCTTTCTCTATACTTGGTGTATGTGTATAGGAAGCCACCAACAGTATTCATCACAATACCTGCAAAGATATTCAGAATAACTAATCAAAATGGTAAATCTGCAACATTTAAAACAATTACAGTATCAGCTTTTTTATGATTTATACGAGTTGATCATACAAGAGGGTTTAATTACATAGTTATTTATCTAAACAATTTCTTAAAGGTAGATTAAAGGTTTAATCATTGGTAAATATATATCCAATTTAATCCAACAAAGCTTGAATCCCTTGTTGAAGTATTCTGAATGCTAACTTGGTTACAAGTGATCCAGCCATCACTGATGCCTTCCACTCCCTTAAAGTGGAACTGAGATCATAAATAAGAGTTATAACAAACAAGAAGTCCCATTCCACTGACCTGTAATGTTTAGCGGGTGATATTTAACGCCTCCAAACACAAAGAATCCTATTAGTGTTTGGATGACAGACTTTGCTACAGACACTAATGATGTGGTGAGAGCAGAGTTAAGTGCTGTGCACAGGAAGAGTGAATAGTTCAACACAGCACCCATAACAACTAATGTCCACAAGGTGATGTGGAACCCAACATCTGAAACAGGGCATTAAATGAAAAAAGGTTAGAGAAATTTAAAACCGAGTCCCATTCATTTGCCAAATCTTTAACACTAAGCAGTATCACACAGCCAACACTACCACACTAAATCATCATTCCCAGCAGAATGCCACCATTCAAATAACAAGGCATCATATGCTCTTGAAGAATTACATCAAACGTTCACTCCCTATTTAACAAATCTATTCCATCTAGCCTTGCAGACCACTCAAACTTGCCAGCAGGCACACAAGTCTGGCCTGCTCGTCAACAAATACTCAACCAACCTCAACAACCAACTTGTGGTCCTCAGGTGATGCCTGTCACCTGAGGACCACAAAGAACATGCGAGGAGCCTGTACTTTATAGCGAGGAGCTATACTTTATAGCGAGTAGCTATACTTTCTAACTTCAGAATTGCTTTTAAATACATGGATGGTAGAAAAACTAAAGGAATTGTTCACGACTTTTGTTAGACCAAAGCTGGAATATGCAGCAGTTGTATGGTGCCCATATCTTAAGAAACACATCAACAAACTGGAAAAGGTGCAAAGACATGCAACTAAATAGCTCCCAGAACTGAAGGACAAGAGCTACAAGGAGAGGTTAGAGGCATTAAATATGCCAAAACTATAAGATAGAAGAAAAAGAGGCAATATGATCACTACATACAAAATGGTAATGGGGATTGATAAAATTGATAGGGAAGATTTCCCGAGATCTGGAACTTCAAGAATAAGACATCATAAATTTAAACTAACTAAACAAAGATGCCAAAGAAATATAAGAAAATTCACTTCCGCAAACAGAGTGGTAGATAGTTGGAACAAGTTTGGTGAAAAAGTGGAGGAGGCCAAAACCGTTAGTAATTTCAAAGCGTTATATGACAAAGAGTGCTGGGAAGACGGGACATCACGAGCGTAGCTCTCATCCTGTAACTACACTTAGGTAATTAAACTCCCACCCACATGACAGTCCACTGACTGCCCACCTACAAGCCAAATAGCCCTGCCTGCCTGCCTGCCTATTTTCCTACCTATAAGAACAAAATCCTACCCACAAGCCTACACAATATTTAATGCAAGGAAAATAGCCTTCCAATACATTGCAGCCTCTGCCCATGCTTCTAGGAAAACCTTTTTAAGTAATGTCTGCCCAGGTCCCTAAACCTTAAAAGCAAGACACCTGGACCTGGTAAATGCTACTGTCAGTTGTTAGTAGGATCAATTGTCACCTTGTGCAGGAATACCGAAAATCTGCAATTATACTTCCTTCACCCATCGCACCTATTTCTGCCATTTCTGTTACTTAAAGTACAGAATGTAATAAGGTTTTATAAGATGTAACATGTTGTATAGAAGATATATAAATATATGTAAACATAATGGAGTCTGTTTACAAGCTTAGTAAGAGCATTTTTAGAGCCCTGTTAACACTTTCGCGCTTTATATTAGAGATAACTCGTCGCCGTTTTCTCTTACGATTCCGCATAACAGCCTACTTTTCTCGTCCATCGAAAAAATATTTCTATAAATTCCATTTTTTAACCGAAATGGATGGGGATACTTTTGTTTTGTAGAGAATTTATTTGCAAATGTTTTGGTACCAGAATGAATATTATATCACATAAACTTCTATGAGTAAAAAAAAAATACACAAAGTATGTTTGGGGGTGTGGCGAGCGTGTGGCAGTGGGTTCCCTTTAGCTGTTGATATATCCAACACGTGGGAAATATTTGTATGTGTTATGTATATGTCTGTGTAGGGAATTTTACTGCGATCACTGTCATACAAATTATAAAATGTTTCAACAAGTATAAACATGACAAACATCAAACGAACGAAAACAATGCGTTCGTTTCTGCCGCGAACGCATACTGAGCGACGTGGTTCTATATTTGGCGCTTCTCTTACACATGCTTTGTACAAATGTTATACAGTTCATCTTATAGAAAATTTTATTGCGAACACATTGGTATAAAAAAGAAATACGTACATAGAAAACTAGGGTCAGGAAACGTATAAACTTTCCAAGCATGATTTCCCCCCTGTGTTTTCGCCAGTGCGCTCGCGGCTAACTACTCTCCACTTCACACACTCTTGCGGGTGGGCAATTACCTATATTAAACATTCATATGCATATGTCCGTGTAGAGAATTTTATTGCGATTCCAATGATACCAAAATTACCGATGTAGGACAACTGTAGGCTTCGCAACCATTAAGAGAGTGGAAACATTTTGTTGCTGTTTGGCGCTCTCGGCGAGTGATCTGCATAGTTTTTTATTTGGTGTTGATACTCCTTAAGCTTGGGCGGCATTTTATAGGTATGCTCTTATAGACAATTTCATTGCGAACACAGTGATACCAAATTTAAATACGTGCGCCTTCAATTATTGTCAGGACAGTCAAAAGAGTGTACACTTTTCGGTCTTACCGCGTAGGCGCGCGAAGTGCCGAAAGCATCTGGGGTATTGTTTTTTTTTGAGCGCCGAGAGCGCGAAAGTATTAAGGGAAAGATGATTGGTCATCGATCATTAACTATTCAGTAGTATTGGAACCCTGTTTAAAGTCCACTAATAGATCGTGTTTCAGGAAAAACTGGAAGGCTAGGTAGGTAGGCTAGGTTTACAAGGAGCTGTGGGAGGGAGCTCTAAGTCGGCTAACAAGAGTCAAGTTATCGGCTCCTTTACCCCATATGTACTGTACAGTATATACATACAAAAAAAGTACAGCAGTATTAACTAAACTTTTCTGATACTGACCCTGCAAAAAAATAAAGGTTCATACCAGTAATATTGATACATCATACATCTCTACAAAACAGGATGCCACAAGCATCTCTCTCTTTCTAGAGAAACAATTAAGTATACATATACACACACACTACATCACTAGAACGCTCCAAAACTTTGCTTAAACTTGTGCGCAATGTTTGTTGCTTTTATAAATAACCATAAATTTAAAACTTTTGAACTTTAATAAATTTATCATGTCCAGTGAAAGCAATAAAATGTAATTTAGAGAAAGAACAATACCTGTAATATAACGGCTGTGTACAATGGCTCCTGGTTCACCCATGAGCACCGAGACAATAATAAAGGGAGCGAGAGTATTGTAGCTATTAAGTTGGAGGATCTCTAGAGTTGCAAGTTTATTCTCTGCACACTGCTGCACCAGTGTTAAGTACAATCCCTGCGCCAACACACTGAATCCTCCCATTGTATACGCAAAAGCATCAAAGGTCAAGTCGCCTAATACTGAGGAATGAAAGCACACATTAGAGCACAGCAAGCATGTATGGGGATACACTCGTAGGTAGGCTCGTGTAGGGAAATTGGCAGAAAACCATCAGAGAAAAAAACAAAAAATTCAGGGCAACAACACATTAATATAGCACAACTTGGTTTTAGATATGCACAACATTCTGAACATCTGGTCTGTAAAGATTTGTTACAGATATATTATACAAAAAATATTGTGACATTATTTACTTTGCTACACTGTACTTAAAAAAGAAAAAGTTTTGAAACCTCAGCAAAAATCTATTCTGAAAACACCAAATTGTTAAGCATAAAAGGCTAACTAGAATATTGTAATGGAGAAAAGCTATACTTCTTGGTTATTCTCTTGGACAAGGTTCCCTATTCACATTGACATGCCAAGCACAGTCAAGGCAGGTCAACATTTTGTGCCAGTACAACTGGGATCATTTCAAACGTAACTTTCAGGTCGTAATAGTACGAGACAGACAGCCGACAGCCAGCATGTTCAGTGGCTCAAGTCGGGAAAAATGTGAGGTTGGCAGAGTTAAGAGAACCCTGTTCATGTGCAAGTGTTGCCATCTGGTGGAAGATGTGTAGTGGTCAAGGATGTCAACTGGACATTAGTATGAGCACTGCTTGGTAGTCTGTCATGCCAGACTACCAAGCAGTGCAAAAACTTGTGCCTTTAAGAATATAAACAAATCTTCTAAATGTCATTTTGGGCTGGATTGAGTATTCTCAATTGTCTAACTTGCACCAATTTGACCCAAAAGAGAAGCTTAAAAAAATCTGTTGTGCCACTAAAGGATGTCAACCTGCCCGGACTGAATAGTCTAATTAATGGAACATTTCGACTGACTAAAGGAGCAACATTGTGTCCTGCTTAGAAAGAGCTTATTATACACAGCCAGTCTTATTTTTTACTTGGATAAATACAAATTCAATTAAAACAGTGGTAAAGTGAAATAAAATATACATATCTAGGTAGGTGTCCTAAAGCCTACATACTATCCAAAGCTTAGGTATGGTCTGGTTCTAACACTTCAGAATGTTGAGGTGTGACTTTTTTTTTATCAAGCTCTCTTTCACATATGTTTGCTATAAAATAAAAAAAGTTTACCAATGGAACACAATCACCAACCTACCTGCCACAAAACAGCCTGTCGTGATGATGAGTATTGACGCAATCAGTGTACAAGATGGAAATGGCCGTTGAAGAATGACCACAGCCAGGATCAAGTTCACCAGCGGTGTACAACGTTTCACAGCTCCATACATTGGGATATTCATACCTGTAAACAGTGAAAATTTACATTTGGCATTCTCCACAGATGCTCATAGTTGCCGAGAAGCACTGGTAATTGATGAGGTCTTTCCTATTCATTCAACCTTCACATCACATACAGGTGATGTGAAGTGATACAGAGGTAGTTGTATTGAGCATTTCAGAACAGTTATGCATTTCATACCAAATCCTTTGTAAACCTTAAACCCTGGGCAGCACAGGTAGATTGGGTACTATTCCTTCACTACTGGTTTCTGTTTACTAATTGGAGATATTATTGTAAAGCAATTACAAATTGTGTTCTTTGTGAAAACAAGTATGGTAAAGCTTCAAATGAGCTGTGAGAAGAAGAGCTGCTGGCCAAAAAATAAGAGTCAAGTGACTTCTGCTTCTGTACCCTGTTAAGAAAGGTAGGAAAAGGGCAGGGGAGAATAGCATAAAGATGCCTAATAGGCCTTTCTAACAAACATCCATCCATTACTTACAATGCAACCCCAACAACTGACTGACTACAGTTACCTATTTACAGTACTGGTTAGTGAACAGAGGCATCAGGTGTAAAAAAAAGTGTTCTAATGTCTTGCCTTTGAATGTTAAATGTTCCTTTCAAAAAATTACATATTTGAGATAATAACACACCTCTGAATAGTAATGATGAAATTTTATTGGCAAGAGCTCAGATGAAAATGATCTCTTCCAAGACGATGAACATACCTTGAAGAGCCATAAGTGAGAGAGAGGCATGGAAGGCGTAACCTAGAGAAGGTGCCAGAAACATGCGAGCAGACCTCCAGTTATACACCGGAAGATTGATCTTGCCCACACTCACCATCAGTTCCAAGAACACTACAGTAACAAGCATCTGAAATGATTAAGGTAAATCAGCACTGCAATACTCCTAAATATATTTAAGGCTCTTCCACACATTCTTCATGGGCAAGAGTTCCTGGCTCAACCCATAAATATCTTAGGGTGTTGTATATCGTACACTGAGCCCCATCTTAGCCTCTCCCACTGTGGTCAATACTGTATTACCATACCTTTTAATATTAAGTGTTAATCCTTCTACTGTATACCTTTAAATAACTTTTTATCTAAATTATTCTATGTTTTGCCCGAAACACTTTGCATATTAGTGGCTTCATTTGTGTGTGTAATTCTTGTCCCAACAATTGTCCCTTTCTCTTGTCTCCTTTGTCTTCAATACATGTTCTTAACAATAAAATTATGAATACTACTTTAGCAAGTGTAATACACTTGCTCCATGTTCTCATTAGCTTTTGTACACATAATGAGACTAAGACTTAATTCTACATAACCTATCTCTAAGTTATCACATTCCTAGAAGTCTTACACTGATTCCTGGACCACTAATTACAATTCCCAAGTGTACAACTAATTACAGTTAACACTTCTTCCCAATCTGCTAGAAGATGGTCAGGTCAGGTGGAGGCTGGTAATATAACCAGCCAACAGCGAATCATCATCATTACGGGCTATTCATGCCCGTGCCACCTGTTGAGTGGCTTAATCTTAATCAATCAATCATCAGTCTAACTCCAAGAGTGGTTCAGTACAGATGCTCGAGAGTTACCGCACACCTTCAACATTCACCAACAACAATGTAACACTCATGTCTAGTTCCTACCCTCACAAGATGCTTCAACCTCGACACAGAGCAGACAGTCAGATGTTGGCCACGTAGAGATTCCACGCTCTCATTCCGCACTTTAGCTCTTCGACTCCGCTCGCATTCAGAGCGCCACGCTCTAAACTCTCACCCCGCATCTGAGCTCTCTACCCTCGGCCTCACTCGGCTCTCTGCCCTGCTCCATGCTTTGCTTCAACTACTACAACACTTCATTACATTGCCAACAAATCAACTGCTGTAACCAAAACTATACAAAATAAATATAAAAAACCCACTAAACTCTTTGTGTCTAATCAATCAAAATCATAAACTTACATTACACTACACTGATCCACACTACTGTAGTCCCATCCATTAGGGGCAAATGTGCACTACACTGGGCCACATTTGAACCTCATCTGTCATGACCGCCATTTATCCCTTTCCAAATAATCTGTCATCTGGTTTCAGACTAAATGACCTGTATCTAAAATTTATCCTTAAGATCACTTACTGGTGGCAGGCACTTGTTGATATAAAAGCTAATCATACAACATCCATTACCAGAGATCCATATAATTAAAATAAGAACAATAATTAAAACATTCATGCCAGTTCCTGCAGTGTGTGTGTGAATGGAGAATGGTGGTGTAGGACAAAGGGACAGGGGAGTGGGGCATGGTAGGAAGGAAGAGGGGATGGTGGGGAGAACGAGGGGACGCTGGAGTGGGGAATGGTTGGGAGGCCGAAAAGACAGGTGAGGGGGGAATGGTGGGGGAGGACTGGGGGACAGGGAAGATTGCTGTGGCTCAGCAATGCATGTGGGCACTGCTAGTAAACAAAGTAATTTGTAGATTATTCATACACTAAGAAATATTAACCAATATTTAATACAATACAATATGATGTGTTAAAAGTAACACAGGCATACACATCTTACAAGCTAAATAATTATTAAAAGCAGAGTTAAGTGTGGAGATTATTAAAAGCAGAGTTAAGTGTGGAGATCCTTTAACATACAAGTGCAGCACTGTGTGCAAGGTTCACACAACACTCACTCCAGGGACCAAAGAGCCAGAGCTCAACCCCCGCAAGCACAGCTAGGGGAGTACATACTCACCATCCTACCTATAATTATGAAACAATAATAATAATAATAATAATAATAATTTATTTGCAAGAAGGTACAATGGGTTTGTGAGATTACATAAGATCGGTATTTTTACATTCATGCAAAGCCACTAACACGCATAGTGTTTCGGTCAGGTTCTTAATCTAACATATCAGGTAAGATGAAAAGGTACATTGTAGCAAGGTTTTATATCAACAAATAACTACAATGTAAGTTGACAGAGGTGATTACACTGGTAAGGATATACTGTATGTCCTAAGTGCTGTATTAATATTAGGGAAGTGGATACTACAAGATACAGTGTGAGTAAGAAGCACAAGGTAGGAAACTATGAGGATGAAATTAGGTACTTTTTGGTTTTACTTCTGAACAGGGCATGGGGGTGGGCATTTTTTTAATTCATCAGGGAGCGAGTTCCAAAGACTGGGTCCTTTCATTTACATGGAGTGTTTGCACAGATTTAGTCTGACTCTGGGAATATCAAAGATACATTTATTTCTGGTGTGGTCCTCATGGGTTCTATTACACCTACCAAGGAAAAGTTTCAGATCAAGATTAGCATTTAGGAACAAGGTTTTGTACATGTAGCTAGCAGATGAGAATGTGTGGAGTGAGGGTATGTTTAGCATGTTAAGGGACTTAAACAGAGGATAGTTTTGCTGAGAGATGATAGGCTGGAGGTAATTTGCAGTGGTTGAAACCCATGCACAGATACCGTATGTAAGACAGGGATAGATTAGCGTGTAGTATAAAAAGAGGAGAGCAGAGTGGGGGAACATAATCTCTGATTTTAGAAAGTATACTGACCATTCAGTGCTGGCCCCTAGCACTGAATGGCTCTGGCCCCCTCTAGCACTGAATGGCTCTGGCCCTCCTAGCACTGAATGGCTCTGGCCCCCTCTAGCACTGAATGGCTCTGCCCCCCCCCTAGCACTGAATGGCTCTGCCCCCCCTTCCCTAACACTGAATGGCTCTGCCCCCCCCCCTAGCACTGAATGGCTCTGCCCCCACCCCCCCTTACACTGAATGGCTCTGGCCCCCCTAGCACTGAATAGATATTACAAACTTACAATGTATGGTTCAAGCCCTTATGAATGATAAGCTTGTTACATTTATACGAGAATCAAATATTAAACCCAGGGCAGCCACTGACAAGGAACAGTAGGCAATGGAAGTGTTGGAGAAGTAGTGAAGGAGGCAACATGCACGAGGTACACACGAGGGGCTCAGTGTCTCAGCTATCACAAGATGCAGTGACACACAAGTGACTCGGCTCCCCCACCATGACTTGCTAACCTCGTCTATTGTCTCGCCTTTTCTTAAATGTTTTATGAGGTTACTGAAGTCTGATAACTATCAAAATTCAGTAAAAATAACTAATACAATACTGTAATATGATTATATTTATATATATATATATATATATATATATATATATATATATATATATATATATATATATATATAATATATATATATTATTTATATGCAGACGTGCAAGACATGTGTAAAACAGACAAATCCTCACAAAGGAAACAATCTAGATACAACCCTACCTGACATGCCATGATGAAGAAAGGGAATGGAAATTCGTAAGAGTTGATAACACCCTTGTTGAGGAACGCCATGGAAGCAGAGCACACGCCATAGAAGATGGCAGCCACGAACCCTCTGCCCTCAGTCCCCCTGCAGAAATAAGATATGCTTGATGGCAGGGCTGGATGGTGCCAATTAATACTGAAATGTGTCAGCTGGGTGCAGGCACAATTATACATTAATTTACATTTATTCATAAATTTACAGGCAATTTACATCTGTACAGTATTTTCAACATCAATTTAAAATATAATAATTTGCTTAGATTATGAATTACAAGCAACATAACAAAAATACAATTGTATGACATGGAGAAAAAGCATATACAGCAGTTTATATGATTAGACTTTAATAGATAATATGTACAGTACTGTATAACTGGATTATACAAATAAGAGAACAAAAGAAGCACAAAGCACTTTCTCTGAAACATGTGAAGGTTAAAAAAGAAAAAACTCCCACTCAATAGAATGTGTCCACAAGAAATTTGGATGCAACAGAAGGATTCTAATCTGGGTGGTGTCTGATGCAATGGATTAGATGTCCAGGTAATCAAGATCTTAATGTGGGGTTAAAAAATTTAGAAAAAAAATGTATTGAATTATATTAAAATATATTTTACTGTGATTTTCGCATCAAAACAAATATATGTTTACAGTTTGCACCATTTGCACCACCGTTTACCGTTTGGTACTTTCCACCCTTCCCCTCAGGAGGAGGGTACTTTCCACCCTTCCCCTCAGGAGGAGGGGGGAGGGTACTTTCCACCCTTCCCCTCAGGAGGAGGGGGGAGGGTACTTTCCACCCTTCCCCTCAGGAGGAGGGGGGAGGGTACTTTCCACCCTTCCCCTCAGGAGGAGGGGGGAGGGTACTTTCCACCCTTCCCCTCAGGAGGGGGGAGGGTACTTTCCACCCTTCCCCTCAGGAGGGGGGAGGGTACTTTCCACCCTTCCCCGCAGGAGGGAAGAGGGTACTTTCCACCCTTCCCCGCAGGAGGGGGGAGGGTACTTTCCACCCTTCCCCTCAGGAGGGGGAAGGGTACTTTCCACCCTTCCCCTCAGGAGGGGGAGGGTACTTTCCACCCTTCCCCTCAGGAGGAGGGTACTTTCCACCCTTCCCCTCAGGAGGGGGAGGGTACTTTCCACCCTTCCCCTCAGGAGGGGGAGGGTACTTTCCACCCTTCCCCTCAGGAGGGGGAGGGTACTTTCCACCCTTCCCCTCAGGAGGGGGAGGGTACTTTCCACCCTTCCCCTCAGGAGGGGGAGGGTACTTTCCACCCTTCCCCTCAGGAGGGGGGAGGGTACTTTCCACCCTTCCCCTCAGGAGGGGGGAGGGTACTTTCCACCCTTCCCCTCAGGAGGGGGGAGGGTACTTTCCACCCTTCCCCTCAGGAGGGGGGAGGGTACTTTCCACCCTTCCCCTCAGGAGGGGGGAGTGTACTTTCCACCCTTCCCCTCAGGAGGGGGGAGGGTACTTTCCACCCTTCCCCTCAGGAGGAGGGAGGGTACTTTCCACCCTTCCCCTCAGGAGGGGGGAGGGTACTTTCCACCCTTCCCCTCAGGAGGAGGGGGAGGGTACTTTCCACCCTTCCCCTCAGGAGGAGGGAGGGTACTTTCCACCCTTCCCCTCAGGAGGGTGGAGGGTACTTTCCACCCTTCCCCTCAGGAGGGGGGAGGGTACTTTCCACCCTTCCCCTCAGGAGGAGGGGGAAGGGTAAAAATATTGAACAATTTGGAGGATGTTGACCCGAACAACTTCAAAAGGTCAGATGTAACACAGACAAGGAGCAACAGTTTCAAGCTACACAAGCCACAGTGTAAGACTGAATTCAAACAGGAGATTTTTCACCCACAGGGTTATAAACCCACGGACCCGCCTATCCGGCAAAGCCAAAAATGCTAAAACTCTGCTAAACTTTAAAATCCAGATTGAAAAAATTGTCAAGACACATGGGATTGACAAACCGCCAGCTTCCTGTCCTCATCAAGGCCACTAGTGTTAGTGGCCCTCGGGTAAAGCTCGAGTAAATTATAATTGTGTGTGTGTATATGTGTGTGTGGAAATTCAAATTATGTTGCTTGTGGTACAAACAATTGAAAATATGATAATTTTTGGGCTTACCAGTAAGAATTCTGCTTATCTGGATATCTGGCTTATCCAGAAAGGTGTTCTTCCCATATAGTCCAGATAAGTGAGCTTAGACAGTATGTGCTATACTATGCCTAGGAATATTTAATTTTGGTTTTTAGATTTATGTATCAAATTCTATCTAATTGCCCAGTATGCTAATATATGTATGATGGTCCACATTTATAAAAAGTACTATCTAAATAGGAGGATGAGTTACAATATTCAATATATGGTAAGTAAATACTTTTGTTTACAGTTATCAGCTGAAGGTCACACCTAACACACAAACATAACCTGGGGGGGGGACAAGGAGGGAAAACCTAATCGACACTTTCCATGATAAAAATGCAAACTACAGTATCAAATATCTTACCAGTATTCAATGAAGCCTCCTTACACGTTTCTAAAGAAATACATTAAAATTTTTCATCTGACAACACACTAGTCATTTTTAAAAGCCCAACAACGGGACCAAAAATCTAGGCAAGAGACATGCAGCCGAGGTAGTGTAGAAGCAACACGCATCAAGAAAGTGATAAAGGATGACTTTAATAACGTGCAAAAGTGGTAAAACAAAAAACAAAAACACAGGATACAGTAAGACAAGTGAACTGCACAGTAGCAAACAGGTGCCAAGAAACTGCAGTAGTACAAAAGACAAACTAGAGCAACAGTGTTCAACTTGTCAATTTTCAATCCATCTTTGTTTCCATATGACTTGCATACATTGAAGCCAGTGTTAAAAATGCAATTATGTCTGAGAAAGGTTCTGTATATTTTATAACTAAAATGTTTGAGGAAGCCTGATAATGAAAGTAATAATATATTCAAAATGTTTGGATAAATCATATAACACATGATTGTGCAAGTGACAATACAAAATTGTACAAGCAAGGACTTAACAAAAATCTACTTGTAAAATCACAGGAAGCAATGCAGTCATACGAGCCTCACATGATTCCCAAGGTTAAGTTAGTACTCACATTATTGCCATGATGATATTTACACTCACTAATGTACTAAATCCTGGAAAAAATTAAGGAATAATGTTGCAGCAAATGTATACAGAAATAATTTGTATAAAATACCTTAAATTGAACAGCAAGAGAACACTGAGTGGAATGCAATGCCGCTTTCTGAGCTGCACCTTTGTAGCTTCCTAAAGCCCTGGCACTGGACCCACCCGCGTGTGACTTTGCAACCCACAAGAAAAAGTACTTTTACAAACCGTCTTGTTCCTCTAAAAAATGACAAAATGGAGTTCATTATTTTAACAAAATGAATATATTACTCCACCTCTATATTGTATGTAATACACACAGACAATTCCTAGACATAACTGATGTGCTTGTGTCTGAAGCAAACATAATAATAAAATAATCAATGGTGTCCAGTTTGTCTTCTATGGATTCCATCCCATATTAACCTTCAGATGTATGATACTGTAGAATTGATGAGTTAGCCAAAGCATGTGTTCTTAAAGAGGGAGTTGATTATCATCTTGGATTGTCTTTGAGCAGCCCGAGGGCAGCAATATATCAAGAAATACAACAAAATTTAGTAGCCTTCAGATAAAGTAAAATTCACACTAATTATTTCATCTATCATACTATTATGCAGGTAGAGCCACACATCTATGGATTAGTTAATAAAGTCATCAACAAAACAAACCAGCAAGGGCTTCACAGTCAGCCAAACAAAACTACTTGAACCTTTGAATTGCTGAATAATTGAGTTGCTTATGAACTTGGTAAAAAAGGGTTTAGCTAGAAAACCAAGGCTTTCAAAGCACCGTCAATGCACAGATCCAACTCGACGAATCTGACCAGCTAAAAAAGCATCAATGGTCTCAGAAAATATAGGCACTGGTGGCTGTTGGTCTTCCCAATCAGCACCACAGAAGGGTACCACTGGAGCATAGTTGAAGCAGTCAGATCAGAGAGAAACCGATTGGGCACAAGTATGGAAAATGAATGCTAAACCTAAAGTAGGTGTTAAAAAAAAATTGAAATTAACTGTAGACTTAAGTGTGGGGTATTCATGTCACTTAATGGCAGTTGATTTAATTGGCTAATGAATGTTTAATAGTTCACAGCAATACAACATTTTTTGAGTTTACAAGGATTCTTAGAAGTTTTTTTTTTTTATTTATTTTAAGTTTTTGTTCCTGTCATATGAGCAGTTTACCTCAGAGTGGCTTGAGGCATATGTACCACTAAGCTTCCTGCACTGATATTTAGGGGGACAAGACAATTTGAAATGGCACTTATCCTTCTGGGTCATAAAGTTGCCGAATGGTTTGGAGTACTGTCATTACCCTTGGTGCACTCAGTGAGAAGTTATCCAGTATGACCCTACATCAGAAATAATTACAGATAACTGCATAAATAATTGCTATTAAAAATTAAGATCCCAGAACCAATAAACTAATCCCCTTACGGGTACTTTATATATACAGTACTGTAGATGCAAACCATCCTCCTGTTCAGATAGTACTTTTTGTAACTATGTGTGCACCATAGTACAAACATTGACATATTAAACAATTAGATAGTAGAGCTTTGTACTATTCAATTTACAGAGTCCAAAAAATGAACCTAAAAAACAAACTTAAATATTCCTAGGCCTAGTATAGGACACTTATGTACTATGTCTTGGGTAGAGTGTATTAGGCCTAGGAGGGTTAGGTAAGGGTAGTTTAGTTTGTCTTTGCAACAAGTAAAATCATTTTCTGGTTTGTCTAAATTCAATAGTACAGATTTCTACTTTCTAAATTGTGTTGTACGTCGGTGGTCCTCATCATTACTATATTACCAAAACAGGAGGATGAGCTGGGACATGGGTGAAGGTGGTGGTGGTCGTATAGATTGTACATTCTGACACACTCACACTCATCCATGCACAGTTTCAAATGTAGATATGAGAGAGCCAAATAGGCTCAGGCACCTGTACACTAGTCGATTGACAGTTGAGAAGCGAGACCAAAGAGCCAAGGCTCAACCCCAGCAAGCACAACTAGGCAAGTACAACTAGGTGAGTACAGCTACCACTAACACAACTCGCCGTGTACTAGCAAACTAACGTACTACGTTATTATCCTTACTGATAACATAATCCCCAGTACCATTTCTCAATGTCTCCATCCATTCCTAGTACATACTGTACTTATTTTTCAATTGATTATCCCAAAACTAAATTATTCATCAACATTACAACTGCAATACTATTACTAGTTTCAGATATTAGCACAAGATTTTTTGTAATTAATGTACTTGTATAAGCCCTTTAATTGCTACCAACACTATAGGTACATTAGAGCATTGGTCAGTGACAACCAAAGGATTCTGGGTTTGATTCCCATGGCAGGATGGAGAAGTTTGGGCACATTTCCTTTCACCTGACGCTTCCGTTCACCTAGTAGTACAGTGGAACCTCGGTATTCGTACCACTCCCAATTCGTACTTTTCGGCATTCAGACGCCAAGTTCACATTCAGTAGTCCTCATTTACCCGAGGGCGACTAACCCTAGTGGCCTCTATGAGGACAGATAGCCAGCACCTTGTCAAAGGTCACCCCCGTTGGCCTTTATCTTTTCCAGGTATATTTTTAAACAACACAGTTTTGACAGTTACAGCAGTGTTGTCAAGTCTTTGGTCCTCAACCGTTCCAGATACGAGAGATGACTTGGTTCTGGAATGAATTACTGTCTAGTGTTGCACTTTCAGAAGGACATAGCAGCTATGGAGAAAGTGAAGTCTCCTTGCTTGGATACAGTAATCCAAATGGGGAGACACCAGAGTTACAGTTGAATCACTACTTTTTTTTCCTTAATTTAAAGACAAAGGTACGCTTGATTATTCTGAGGGTTTGGTCAGCTTTTATGACTGCTGCTGCTGCTACCTGCTGTCCAATTTTCAGCGAGTGGTGGATTTTGACTCCCAGGTTCTTTTCTTTATCAATCTGCTGTAATGTAATTGCATTGATTTGGTAGTTGTGGCATGGGCTGTTATTCCCTACATGCAAGGTCTTGCATTTGTCAATATTAAAAAGCATTTGCCAGTCTTCTGACTACTGTATTTGTTGAGTTCATGTAGATTTTTTTTAAAGGCTTCAATATTATCATTTTTCACTTTACAATAAATCTGTGTCATCTGCAAATTTGATGATGTAGTTTGTAATATTCTCATCAATGTCATTAATGTATATGATGAAAAGGGTTGTCCCCAAAATGGACCCCATAGGTAGCACAAGAGCCATGCCAGACACCCCCCACAACAGTATGGGTGGCCCAAAAGGTGGACCCGTCGCAGGTCTATGAACCGTAGCCACAAGCCACGGTTCATAGACCTGTAGTATAGCCAGCGTGCACACGAGGTAATGTCATATACTTATGTAAAGGGCTAACTTAAACTGCGTGTGCCGTGCCAGGATGTAAACAAAACACGTCATAGGACTTTACTAGTACATCTAAGCCACCAAGGATACACTTTACTACATATATCAGGTCACTGACACCAGTTTCACCTTCCCACAGGCTGATGGACAGCTGACATGTGTCCTACACAACCACAGGTCACAAACCCGGCCAACTTACCCTGACTTGTACCTGACCATGACACAGGTATGATAGAGAGCTAGAGAGAGAGAGCGACACGTCCTTTCCCCGCCGCTGTCACTCTCACACTGTCAACACCGCCTCGCGCCACACATTCCTTCACTAACACACTATCTCATGTTATATGGTAATCCCATTCACTCCTCAGGTCTGGAGGGAGCATCTTGCTCCTAAACAATATATATTCCCACCATTGCCACCGTCTGACCAGTGGTCAGGGGCGTGTTAACCCACGAGGAAAACACCACCTTAAGGACGTGGCACATTCATAAATCTACACGGAATATTGACCCATTCATGAAATATTGATTCACAAATCGCTACATGTTTTCAGTTTTAACGATAAAATATATTAAATATAATTTGTTACATTATAAATCCCTTACAACGCCAGCAGTATTTAATAAATAATAATTGAACATTAGGGATTATCGGGACATAAAATCAATAATCAATTACTGGGTAAAACAAAGAGATAAAAGTCGGTTGTCACCACCACGAACGACGCCGGAAATGTTGTAATTATTTTAATCTTTATATTAACTTAATAATTATATACCTAAGGAGGTCCGGAGCTAATACAGAAGGTTAACGCACAGATAAAGCATAAGTTTTTTGTAATGAGTAAAATTAGGTATAGAGAGCAATGTGCTGCTACCTTATTCTATACGAGAGAATAGAATAGAAACATCACCTCTTGATCTACACAGTGTAGATCAAGAACTAGCTATAGGGTCAACTATTATTACCATCTCACACGATGGTTAGTCATACAGGGAAGCATAAGAGGGCAATACAGATTATATAATAAGTTAATTATTATATCAGGTAAATTTAGGCAATAAAGAGCTATACGTTCACGAATAATAACCCACTCTGACACTAATGATGGTTGGTCACACATAAGAGATGAAGTGCCTCTATATAGTCTACACACACACACTCGCAAGCTTTGGGGTACACTATGAGAATAGTGTACACTATGAGAATAGTGTACACTATGAGAATAGTGTGATGGGCCCTCACCCACCACCTCCAGTTACAAGTGTGGCCCTCACCCACCACCTCCAGTTACAAGTGTGGCCCTCACCCACCACCTCCAGTTACAAGTGTGGCCCTCACCCACCACCTCCAGTTACAAGTGTGGCCCTCACCCACCACCTCCAGTTACAAGTGTGGCCCTCACCCACCATCTCCAGTTACAAGTGTGGCCCTCACCCACCACCTCCAGTTACAAGTGTGGCCCTCACCCACCACCTCCAGTTACAAGTGTGGCCCTCACCCACCACCTCCAGTTACAAGTGTGGCCCTCACCCACCACCTCCAGTTACAAGTGTGGCCCCTCACCCATCACCTCCAGTTACAAGTGTGGCCCTCACCCATCACCTCCAGTTACAAGTGTGGCCCTCACCCACCACCTCCCGTGACAAGTGTGGCCCCTCACCCACCACCTCCAGTTACAAGTGTGGCCCTCACCCACCACCTCCAGTTACAAGTGTGGCCCTCACCCACCTCCTCCCGTGACAAGTGTGGCCCTCACCCATCACCTCCAGTTACAAGTGTGGCCCTCACCCACCACCTCCCGTGACAAGTGTGGCCCTCACCCACCACCTCCCGTGACAAGTGTGGCCCCTCACAGTTCGCTAATTATGGAAACTGGTGGAAAGTGGTGTGACTAACCTTGAGTCACGTATTGTCTCTGCTTGTTATGTACACTTTCCTCTCTTTCTGGTTTCCTGCACTCTAATTTTCACCTGCACATGTATTACTATGCACATATATATTTCTCTAAAAATCCATTTTCACATTTTTGCCTCTTATATGCATGTTACTGGCGAGGAAACTACCGTGACGTGGTAACAGTGACGGCGTGAATACATGATATAATTGACCAGAGCAGCAGTAGTGGACACTGGTGCCAGAAGTGTTCATTGTTAATGTTGGTGACCTGGAGCAGACTGGTGGTGTGTAACACGTGCTGACTTACACCTCTCAGGGGGGACCTGAGGGAGCCGGTCGGCCGAGCGGACAGCACGCTGGACTTGTGATCCTGGGTTCGATCCCAGGCGCCGGCGAGAAACAATGGGCAGTTTCTTTCACCCTATGCCGTAAAATATAGGTGCCTGGGTGTTAGTCAGCTGTCACGGGCTGCTTCCTGGGGGTGGAGGCCTGGTTGAGGACCGGGCCGCGGGGGCACTAAAGCCCCGAAATAATCTCAAGATAACCTCAAGATAACCTCCCACTCCATGAAGGAACACGTTCACTTGGCCAACTGCTACAATGGTTACAAGGTTATCTCACCAACAGAAAGTTCTGTGCATGGTTGCAAGGCTCTGAAGTGAAACCGAAGTAATGAACTAGACTCAACCCAAAGTAGGTTAGTTCATTTATTATGCACCCCATACCCAGCATGTCCATCCTGTGGGCGGAAGTGGGTAAAAAAAAACAAAATACAAAAAATACAAATATTTATTCAGGTAAAGTACATACATATACAAGGTGAAATACAAAAGTTGATGGATTTATAGACAGAGGTAGTACATACGGTTACAAAAGGTTACAGAAGCATATGGGCTCAGGAACTGAACCCCCAAAACTAACTTGGTTAAGCAAGTTACAGTCTTGATAGGCTCATTTTACAGTTGAATGTATCAGCAATGGGTACGATAATAATAATAACGACCACAAGTAAGCTAAATAACTTATATTTACAGTGAGCTATGCAGACGAGGAGTCACTAGAAAGTGAAGGGACGACGTTTCGGGGTACTATGGGTGCGGGCTCACCATAGCCCGTGCTACTTGAAACTTGTTCAGAGTAGCAGAATCAACAACAGATGTTTCATGACCATTTGGTCACCATTTAGTCTGGGAGACATGTCCCGTCACGCAGGATACAGTCGCGCCTCCACAGATCTCCAGTATCAGCTCTTAATACTGGTAATGGCTCAAAAGGGCCACCACGGCACCACTAATACGGGCTATTTTTTTTTTTTTTTTTTTTTTTTTTTTTTTTTTTTTTTTTTTTTAGATATATACAAGAGTTGTTACATTCTTGTACAGCCACTAGTACGCGTAGTGTTTCGGGCAAGTCCTTAATCCTATGGTCCCTGGAATACGATCCCCTGCCGCGAAGAATCGTTTTTTCATCCAAGTACACATTTTACTGTTGCGTTAAACAGAGGCTACAGTTAAGGAATTGCGCCCAGTAAATCCTCCCCGGCCAGGATACGAACCCATGACATAGCGCTCGCGGAACGCCAGGCGAGTGTCTTACCACTACACCATGGAGACTGCCTCCGTGGCAGTCATGCCCGTGCCACCTCTTGGGTGGCTTAATCTTCATCAATCATCATCAGACGTTTCGGCACACACAGAGACGAGGCTCACCATAGCCCGTGCTACTTGCCCCGCTCCTGTGCCAGGTAAGCTAGTCCACTACGGGCTCACCATAGCCCGTGCTGCTGAATCTAAAACAACAACAGACGTTTCGGTCCGTTTGGGACGTTTCCGTCGTTGAGTACACATGGTACTCAAGACCATCCGTACACACTCACAAAATTAAATTTACTTACACACACCGTACACACACTCCACTGGACAACGGTCCTCCACGGACCCAAACGTCGTCGTCCCTTCACTTTCTAGTGTGTGGTCTGGTCTACAGTGAGCTACTTCCTTCATATATATATTGCTCCTATTTCTTATATACATCAATCATTTGCCAAATATTTCTACCATTCTTAAAGCTATATTATTTGCTGACGATAGTGTACTACTTTATCTATTCTGACCCACCCCCACACACACACGCTAAATACTACAGTACTGTTAATAATGACCTGGGTCATCACAACCTTAACACAAAGATAAAGGTAGATAAAGACAGGCTATTTAACACAAGGGGCACACGCACAAGGGGACACAGGTGGAAACTGAGTGCCCAAATGAGCCACAGAGATATTAGAAAGAACTTTTTTAGTGTCAGAGTGGTTGACAAATGGAATGCATTAGGAAGTGATGTGGTGGAGGCTGACTCCATACACAGTTTCAAGTGTAGATATGATAGAGCCCAATAGGCTCAGGAACCTGTACACCAGTTGATTGACAGTTGAGAGGTGGGACCAAAGAGCCAAAGCTCAACCCCCACAAGCACAACTAGGTGAGTACATCTCACCACCTGCCTGCTGGCCTTACCTAACACTGCCCTACCTAACACTGCCCTACCTAACAGGATGCTGTGTAGGGTTCTAGGTTCATCATAGTTATAATGTATAATGGTAGGCAGTACAGTGTACATGTTTGGTGCGCGTAACAAACCGATATAAAAACACAAATTATTTTCTGGAAGTTATGTAGTACATATAAAACTTTTCATATATAAATTTGATAGTATTTTCTTGCATGCATATGTTATCTAATAAACTCTATGTAACCTACCTTACCTTCTAAATGTTAACCTGTGTTTTGCTATTACTGTATTGAACATTAATGACAGAACATGTAAAACGGCTGATTTCTGTTGTGTAAACTAAAAAATATTATTATTCCTTCAGTTTATTTAGTGAAAATTAGTATCTGCGGTTCTGTTACAATTTCTGCTCTACTATGTAATTACAGTATTGTAATTTTGTTTTTACTTCAGTTCATTTTTTATTTTGATCTCAATTAGCGTTAAGTCTTAGCTTTTAGGTTTTTTCCACGTGTTGGCCAAAAAGCTGTGCATACTAGTGGCTTTAGGCATAGTATATACTTCCCCTACCTAAAAACCAACATTCTTCTTGTATCCCATTTTATTATTTTCCTAAATAAATATTATTATTATTAAATATTATAATTATAAATTTAAATTAATTATATGCTGTATAATAATTAATGTTAGTACTGTATATTATATATATATATAATATATATATATTAATTTATAATTATATAAATAATTATATTATATAAATAATAATTATATAAAATTATATAAATTATATAACTGATTACATTTTTTGACTGAGGAAGAGGCTGTTCTGCTGGGGCAGATTACTTCTCTGAACCAACAATGATGTTCACAAGACAAATAGAGTTTGAGTCAATAGGAAAAAGTTTATATGTGAGTCAGGAAAGTGAGGGCGACGCAGGAAGTGTTGTGTGGGATGCAGCCATCGTCCTGGCCAAGTACTTTGACAAGCAGAAAGCTCTCGCATGGACACCTCGGCCTTACGGTCAGTTCAGTTCTATGCTTGAAGTGTTACAGTAGTGCATTGCCTCCCAGACCTGTAGCCTACGTACTGTATTCACAATCTTTAGGTTAGGTAAGGGTTCTCAAGATCCACATTTAAATTGGTAATAAAGCTCACTTTTTATCCCTCTGCACTATAATGCACTATAATCAAGGTTTTTAGCCAAGTGTGAGTGTTGCTTTTCCCATACAAGTCCTGTTGGATGACTCCTCTAAAGTGAAGGATTTTTATAATTTATTTTGAGGCTAGATATGTACTGTACAAATGTGTCATTGCAATGCTTGTTAATCCACACACAAATGCTATGCTAAGGAAGTGACTACAACATTTTTAACTGGAATCACAGATAAAGAAAAGTTCAACCTAAGTACAGAGCAGTTTTTAAAGGTAGCCTACAGTACCACAGATCAAGAAGCTTAGTGCCTGAAACAGATTTAATACACATATTGTCATGAAACTCACACATTGAAAATTGAGCATAAATAATATTAAAATATAAAGAGGGGTAAATTTTTTCTTTAAATACTGTAATTTATATGGTTACCTTATCATTTTCATTTAATTATGATATTTTTATTTATTTTTTAACTTGTAATGTTTGCTAGATACATGGAGAATGCCTTTGTATATTGGCTTAAAAGTGTTTATTGTCACAAAGTGCATGAATCGTGTTCAAGAGCCAGCATACAACTAATAAGCAAACCGTTTAACATTTTATATCTTTCCCTTCCACTAATTTCTGTAATATTTACAGATGTAAAGCCTGTGCTGCTCTCAGGATGTCATGTGGTGGAGTTAGGCTCAGGAACTGGATGTGTTGGTCTTACTGCTGCCCTTTTGGGGTTAGTCTATAAACTATTGCATGAAAATATACTTTTAAAATTTCTTGTACCACATCTCATAAATTTTAATTTAAAAAATGAGCAAAGCCCATGATCTTGTTATAATACCTGTAGTATCAACTCATTTCATTCTTACTGGTCATGTGATTGATCTAACATTTTGTGCTCATTGCAAGTTGGATTATATCAATGTTGTATAAAACATAAATTTTGTAATTTAATTGCAGAATAAGGATTCAACAGCAGAAGAAAATCATGCCTTCTCAAGTAAATTTTGAAGGAAATGACTTTAATTAACTTAGCTCGACTGTCATGTATACAGTACCACTTAGCTGTACCAATACTGTACTGCTTGCAATTAACATCTTTCATTAGCAGATTATAAATTGCAAACACTAACATTGGAGGGTAAAAAAGTTGAGCTGGAGAATGGAGCCAAGAACATAACTTTGCAGATATATATGCTGGTGAAGAAACAGCAAAGTAACATCATTCCCTACCTGAGAAAACAGTAGTTTTGTTCCTTTCCTCTATACTTGGAAAATGAAGCAGAAAGCTAAAATTAATAATCTAATCATAAATTTAACCTTATAATATAATTAATTAAGTTTTGTATCTTGTTTGCAGGGCATCAAAGGTGACCATTACTGATCTGCCACAGTTTCTTCCCCTTATGAGGAAAAATATTCATCAAAATCAAGATATTCTTGAGTGTGTAGTTGATGCCAGAGAGCTAACATGGGGGAACTTGGAGCAAGGTGCTGCTCTCACTGCTCCTGATGTTCTTGTGCTGGCTGACTGCATATATTATGAAGAGGTTAGCTCTGTGCTTCACTTCTGTATATTTTTAAAGTTTTTTTATTGCAGCATTTATAGCCACCCCACAATGAAGGATCATGAGAATAATCTTCAGATTTGTACTTCACAGATAACTGTATTAAATATCTTGCCCAGAAATTAGCAGTATGGAGAACAAAAATTAGTTTTGTCATCTCTATCCTGTTTTTCACTTTTATTTGTTGAGAAGGTATCAGCCTGGAAGAAGGAGGAGAGTAATTAGTAAAAGGAAAATAATTATATAAAAATGACATTTACCATATCTGTTTCTAGGATTTTTAATTGGACTCCATCCATGCATGGCATTCAGCCTCGCTTCTTACAGGTCGGTGTTCAAGCCCCAACTGTCAAGGAAGGGAAGGAATGATGCCCGAGTGGTTGGGCATCATTCCTTCCTTCCCTCTGATTGCAAATCCTTATCCTCATCCCTTCCAAATGCTATATTGTCATAATGGTTTAGTGCTCTGTCCTGATATTTACCCTTATCCTATAATATCAGTCTAGTCACTGATTACACCATGTATTTGATCACTCGCTCTACTTCCTGCACAAAGGCTCATCATGGCCCAAACTACTCATCCTTTAAATTTATTTTATCCCTAATCATTTTCCTAAGTCTTTTATATTAAACAGTGACAACATGATCATCAGGTTCATAAGCTCTAGGAAGAAATATGAAGTCAACTGTGATATAAAACTGAACAGATTCTTAAGTCTTAACAAACATGAACAACCAGTTATAAAATGCACTGTAGCTCCTTGATTATTTAAGTATCTGGACAGTGACACAATGTTTACTGTCTTGGCTCTGTATTCTAGTGCATAGGATTTGTTTCACTTTAAATCCAATGTAGGAACTGCAACCCCTTTTTATACATACTGTATTCCTCTCATTGTAAAGTGCCAAAAGTAATGGGACACCTTGTTGCTCAGCTGTTTCTTGGCCAGTTATGTGTGGTTAGTTCATGCACAGAAATTTCCTAATGACAGAGATTACGAATGTGAAAATTGCAACTTTTATCAATCTGGGTTATGTGCCCATCAAATGACAATAAAGAATTGAAGTAAACAAACCTTACAAACCTGCTCACACCTCTGGAAACAGTCACCGGCTATTCAGACATAAGAACATAAGAACAAAGGTAGCTGCAGAAGGCCTATTGGCCCATACGAGGCAGTTCCTATTTATAACGACCCAATCCCACTCATATACATGTCCAACCAACGCTTGAAACAATCGAGGGTCCCCACCTCCACCACGTTACGCGGTAATTGCAGCCCTGCTAATCAGGGCCCTAATCAACTACCCTGTTACAGACAAAGGACTTCTGGCAGATGTAGTTTACATGGACTTTGTTAAAGCGTTTGACAAAGTCCATGAAACATGAAAACATGTTTGACATGAAAGACTAGCAAGGAAATTACAGGCACATGGAATAAATGGGAGAATACTGGAATGGAAGAGACAATGGTTAAAAGAAAGAAAACAAAGGGTCTGCTAAATGGGAATGAATCTGACTGAAGAAATGGGGTAAGTGGGGTGCCACAAGGGTCCATTTTGGGACCAACCCTTTTTGTCATATACTGTACTGTACATCAGTGACATAGATGAAAATATTATAAACCACATCATAAAATTTGCAGATGACACTAAGAATTATGGTAAAGTGGGAAGTGAAAATGATATCGAGCCCATACAGAGATCTACATGCAGTCTGCAAATGGTTAGAAGACTGGCAAAAGCTTTTTAATGTCGATAAATGCAAGATCTTGCATGTGGGGCATAACAATCTGTCACAACTATCAATTGACAGCACTACCTTACAACATATTTATGAAGAAAAGGACCTTGGAGTCAGAATCCATCATTCAATGAAATATGTAAAACAAGTGGGTGCGGCAGAAAAAAAAAAAGCTAACCAAATCCTAGGAATAATCAAGTGTACCTTTACCTTTATGGAAAAGAAGGTAGTCATTCAACTGTATAAGTGTCTAGTGTGCCCCACCTGGATTATTGTATCCAGGCATGGAACCCTCATTATCAGAAGGACATAGCTGCTCTGGAGAAAGTGCAACACTAAGCAACAAAAGTCATTCCAGAGCCAAGTCATCTCTTGTATCAGGAACGTTTGGAGGCCACAGGGCTAACAACACTGCAAACCAGGTATGACAGGGCGGATCTCGTTGAAACTTTTAAAATACAGTACTACAAAGAGTACAGTACAGTACTGGGAAGATGGGACTTTTTTTTTTTTTTTTTTTTTTTTTTTTTTTTTTTAGATATATACAAGAGTTGTTACATTCTTGTACATTATGAGCAGAGCTTTCCTCCTGTAACTTCACTTTAGATAATTACGCACATACACACACAAGGCTTGTATCTAGCCCCCACCTCTCCCCCAATAGGTTAAACTATTGACCTTTCACAGGATGCAACCCTACAACAAGACAACTAACTCTTGGGTACCTATTTACTGCTAGGTGAAAAGGGCATTAGGTGAAAAGAAACATGCCTAACCATTTCTGTCCTGCCTAGGAATCAAACCCAGGATCCCCAATTGTGATTCTCTAATGAAACCAACTGTACTTTAAAATTTTTGCAGTGATAGATTGTGGTATCAAATACAGCTGAGATTTACAATGAAATCAACAGTGACATACCTGTATTTTCTGAGGAAGTATTCAATATCAAATCATTGTAAATTGTACACAAGGCATTTTTAGTTGAATGAAATGGTCTTGATGCTGACTGAATATGTGATAAAATGTCACTTCTCCAGAACATTAAACAATTGATCAAGAATAGCATGTTTAATCAATTTAGAATGCAACATTAGGTGTGACAGTAGTAACAGTACACTGTATAAATAAATTATATAATCCACAACAAAATCAACAGGATGTATTAAAATAAAAATACTAGTGTAAAGCAATTATTCATAAAAAAGTAAATCACTTATTCCATCCTAATAAACAGCAAGTTTTATTTTGCATATTTTGTAAGCAACAAATTAATGCTGTAAAAATTAATGTTTCAATGTACAGTAAATGCTTTAGCACTGATTTTTTTTTAATTTTGAATTTTTTAAAATGACATTTTGTTTGCAGTTTCCATGTGAACTGTGCAAGTGCAGTAATCAGCCAGTCTCAAGTTACTACCCTACAAGTGCTTAAAGTTCCATGGATATTGGTTCCTACAAAAGATTGTACCAGTCACAAGAGCTTTCCTCACCATCAGCATCACTTATGATAGTTATTCAACTGACAAGTGTAATTCAAGTGCATGGAGATAATAAGATTTGTGTTAATTGGTAGGAAATATGTAGCTATGAGCTGGTATGACCAAGGACACTTGTAAAGTATAACTCAGGAATGGACTTAGGTATGACAGTGGGAAAAAGGGGTCAAGGAAAGATCCAATGAGACAGGAAGACAAAAATAAATATAATTAATTATAATTCATTGTGTCGCACGACAGGCAACCAGTGTATATATACTTATTAGGCTTATATTGAGGTCCCCCACAACAAGCTGACTAACTCCTGGGTACCTATTTATTGCTAGGTAAACAGGGGCATTAGGTGACAGGAAATACGCCCAACCATTTCTGTCCCACCCAGGATTTGAGTCCCCAATTCTTGACTGTGAGCCGAGAACAAATCTGACCGTACTATCAGGACCCTTAAACGAGGCACTGAGAGATGATGTTAGTATGAAGACGTGTGAGGGACTTCAGCAAAGGATGGGGGTCACTCTGTATGTTGTAAGGATTCTGTAATGGGTTGGGACTCTACATCTGTAGCCATCCTGTGTGGGGGAATGTGCAAAGAAGACTGCACATAGGAGACACCTGCATAAGACTGCACACTTGCAGGGCAGGTGTCCTACAAGTGTGCAGACATGTAGAGACCTCATAGTTTGCCAACGGCCATACCACGTTGAGAACACCGCTTCTTGTCCTCATAGTTTGTGGGAGGAGCTCTGCACTTGGTGTTGTCTTATGTGTGATTTGGAGGGAAGTATATGGTAGTGTGATGGTGGAGGCCTGCAAGAGCCTCCTGCTGTACACAAGTTTTATATCAGATTGTATGGAGCATGTTGATAATTAATAATAATTATATAATTTTGTTTCTATACTGGTATGGGCAGTGTGTTTAAGTGCAGTGTAATTCATATTATTTTTCAGAATAACTAGGAATTTTATACTTTTTGGTGCATAAAATTGTCTGTTTTTACCGTCATATAAATATTTTCTTTACTGTTTTAATTTTGTATATTAAAATGCTTCAAATGAAACAGTGGCACCTCAGTTTAATGAGCTAAATAGGAATGGTCACATTTTAGAAATCAAGGTTTCTGGTAAATCAAGGCTTTTCTGAACATGGCTCCTCTGGTTGTTCTCTTAGTGAGGGCCATAGGTGGAATAATTGAAAGCACTCTAGGCTCAGGGCAAGTTCAAGCTCCACTGAGACAAGTTGCTCTTCAAATGGTCTTATTCTCGACACACCACTGAGGACAACCACTCACTATGACATCAAAGAACATATTAACCCACTTGACACCCTCTTCAAGTAATCATCGTGAACAAAATCGTAATGTCAAATTGTGAATTTCAAAATTAGTACCAGTATTTCCTCTGGCAGCCCCAAGCTAACTAATTTTTCTCAATCAAATTTTTTCTTGTGTGTTAAGATGCCTTTTCTTCCCCTAACAGACAAATGGATGAAAATCCTTGAGTAACAAGAATTATTTAACAAGATATGTCTAGAAAGGTGAAATAAAGGGATCATATGTTGCAGGTAGATGACCAGTATTTTGGAAGTGGAGATTGGGAATGTTACGGCCCTCTCGGGTCGCAACTGGGTTCGTACTCTGATGTCGTTAGAGGAAGGGTATCCGGCCCCAAGCCAGTAGTGGCTTTCAAGGGATGAGATCCGTGACGCAAGTAACTTAAAGGGGAAGGGAAATAAAGTCAAGAACTTAATACTATAATTATTTCCATCACCAATAAATAATATATAAAAAGGTTACACGGGGGGAGGGGTATTAACACTGGACAGGGGAATTATTTACACTATTGTCTTCTCCTGAAGACTCTGGATCCAAGCTCTTGGTGCTCTCGTGGCCTCACAACGAATCCTTTGAGAAGCTGAGTCTACCCCGGCCTCAGGCCAGCCAAAACACAGTTCCACTGGGGGCACCGCCGTGGAGGCCGTCAACCACAAGTCCAGCAAAACAGCTGGCAGGTTCCGGATCAGCAACGCTGGTCAGGTCACTCCACGAGCGATACTAGGGTAGCGCCCTAGTCAGGAGCCTCGTGTGATACCACAGATCACTCTCCTGTCTACAATACCCCAGTGGTTAATCGTCTCCATCAGTCGGTCCTGGGTACGACAATCCTTCACTGCCGCTTCACAGGCAGGGTAACACCACAGTGTTCATCCGGGAGGCGACTCACAGCTGCTTGCAGCAAAGCACAAGGTATGGGGACGGCTGCCTTGGGTAGACTGATTCAACATCCCTTACAGCAGTCCCAGGTCGACTCTGTAAGCAGACACGTCATCAATAACAGGGATACACTAAAGCACCTCACTTACAGGCTCAGACCCAAACGCCCACCTATCCACTCCATAGATGGCGTTGGTGTCTGAGCACCACCTCACCAGAGGTCAGCGGTGGCTGTGTTGAGCGCTGAACGGGACTGGAAACTGGCCCTCGTAGCCAGTACACGTCGTCCTCACCAGGTGTCGTCGTCCGTTTGGAGGGGGTTTCGGGAGCTGACCCACAGATGGCGTGGTCGTCACTGCTCCGTGCTCGGATGCTCGATCCGGGTCCGTAACAGGGAACAAATTATATGAACAAATGTGAGGGGTTAGAGAGCCTGATGGAGTGAAAACTTTGAATGTGGGCAGAGCATTCTGAAGAAGCTAGTGCTATTACCCCCCATTTGATGAAGTTTTTGTAGGAGGGAATCAGGGCTATAGGTAAAGGGAATCAGGGCTACAGGTAAACACTAAACAATGTTATGTATGTATATGTGTGTGTGTATGTACAGTATATGTATGTGTATAAAGTATATATGGAAGCTGATCAGAATTACATTTCACCTTTGTGAATGTACATTAATGACACTATGTAAAAGACACATCGAACACTTTATGTAGGGCATACGTAAATCTGTGTATCTATGTATTTACGTATGTAGGTTAGCTTAGCATTTTAAAAGCACCGAATCACCTTCTGTGGTTGATTGTTCAATAAACCCCTGAACTATATGTTTAACACATCTCTAACCCTGTCCATGGAGGACAGAAGAAAATGTATATATGCTGGTTAGCATTGTAAATGTGTGGCCATGTCTGTGGTAGAAAATAATAATAAAAAAAAAAAAAACTATATTTCTGCTGAATTGGTACAATAAATTGAGGTGCCTTTGATTTTCCAGAAATCTTGTTCTATAAATAAAATTTTGTCTAGTAGCAAATTCTTTCCACCAAATCAAGGGGTGACATTAAATTGAGGCTCCATTGTACAGGTTCATGTGTTTTGGCAGTTTAACACTAATATTCTAACATTTGTTTCTGTACAGTATGTGTACTTTTCACTCTTGATCTACACAGATTAAAGGTGTGCCAATTTGGAGATGTTGTACTGTAATCAAATTTATTTCTAACACTCAGATAAGTGCATGATGGTAGGATTAGCTATGCACAATTTGTTTGGTTTCCCAAAAATTTCAGCAAGGGCAAATTTGTTGTGTGCAAAATTTTAAAGTGTGTTCAAGGACTGGTTTAGCTATATTCATGTTGTATGAGTTGTTGTTTTGGTGCATTACACATCTAGCTATTCTCATATTTGTCCCACACTTTCTCTCTCACCTTTTTTCTTGCCTTTCAGTTGTACTAAGTGGTCCAACACCATGTTTTTCTGTGGGGAGCCCCGTCAGCTCTCTGAAACTATCAAAACTGATATAGTACTAGACTATTTGGGGTCTTCAGTCGCAGAGTTCTTATGCTTACTGGGGACCACGAGCCAGAACCTGGCCCTCTCAGAGAGGCGCAGGGAGCAATGGCCCATGAAGACTTTACAGTTAAAGTACTAGTATGTCATCTTGCCATCGACCAGAAAAGTCACCCAGAAAGGTAGGCGAATCAAACAGACTACTGCTTGGTTGAAAATATGACCTATGTCTTCAAAATAGCAAAAGAACTCTCCCACAAAGAAAAGAAACAAGCAGAACTTCGTTCAACTAACCCCCTGCTTGTTAGCGCCACCCGCCAGCCAGTTCTTGACTGATGTGCTTGGTGGGCAGATGTCACCTCAGGCCACGATTTCCTGTTTTAGAAGTTTAGTGTTGTGAGGCTGTTCCTGCACTTTTAGTGTGAGTTGGCCAGGTGTTCTAGTGTACTGGAGCTGCATGCGCTTAGGGACAATTTCCCTAGGTGCTCCATAAGTACTGCCCTTGCATGGTCAGGGTTATCTTCTCTGGGGCGTTCAGGAATCGCTCCCCATTAGAGGATTTCCTCGTTTGTGGTTGTCTTTGCCCTTGGGGTGTGTTGGAAGCTTTGGGCTTTCCAACCTTCCTTGGGTGGGGAAGTGTTTGTTGGCTGGTGTGGGCGCACTACAGCTGGTGTAGCCTGCTTTTCGGCTATCGACACAACAATCTTTCTCTCTGACTGCTTGTTTGCTGTCTTTTGTTGGCGGCCTCTGCTAGTTGCTATCCCATTTCGGATTTTGTTGTGCCTGGGAGGGGTCGTTCCTGCCCCTCCCAGAAGGGTCATTCCTGCCCCTCCTGGAAGGGTCATTCCTGCCCCTCCTGGAAGGGTCATTCCTGCCCCTCCTGGAAGGGTCAGGCCAGGGCTTGGGCTTCTTTGGATTGAGTTAGGCCAGGGCTTGGGCTTCTTTGGGTTGGGATAGGCTTGTGGTGCCAGCAGACAGGTCGGAGATGACCACGGCGCCGTCTTCGTCTGGTAGACGCAGTGCTCGCTCTGCTCGGAAGCCTGGCTCGCAGGGTTTGCGTCGGCCCTTTTGTTGGTTGCTCCCTTTGATGGGGCAATGGGAGGGGGAGGCTGGCTCTTCTTGCATGCACCTGGTCCCACAATTTGTGGGCTTTTCGGGTCGTCTCTCCAAGCTGTTCTTAATACTAATCTCCTGCTGCCTAGTGGTGTCTGTGTGGTAGTAATTTGTTTTGACAGCTTTTAAAAGCTTTGCCCAGGGTTGCCAAAACAAATTATTACCCGACAGACACCACTAGGCAGCAGGAGATCGATATTAAGAACAGCTTGGTCATTCCATATACAGTAGTACTAACTTAGAGCACACTGCTAAAAATATAAACAAAATGGGTAAAACAAAATTTATTTTCAGTTACCCAAATAAAGTTAGACATTTACTAATTCATTTCCATCAGAAGAACGATAAAGCTTAGGGCGTCGGAATTTATAAGGTTTCTTGTGGTGATTGCAATAAAGTTTATTATGGCCAAACAGGCAGGCATCTAAAAACCTGCATCACTGAATGCAAGAGGTCTGTTAGATATGGCCAAGAAAGCTCAGCTTTATATAATTATGTAAGTGAGACCAGTCACAAAATTATATGGGGTACTTGTATAATTTAACCCCAACAATGTGGCTTCAACAAAAAATAATAAAATCTACTTTTATAAACAATAATCCAAATGTTAACATCTCCTCAGGGCAGTGGTTACCAGATCTGGTGAGCGATTGTGTAACAAGGAGGGTATTACCCAATGCTTACCCATTACATTCCCAGTTATTACCAAATGTATGCACCTCTTCCCAGGACACCTGACTTGATGCCATAACAGCAGCCACAGCCATCATTCTTGCTAAATCTAAAACAACCGCAACATCATTCCACTATTCTCGCTTCACGACCAAAGATCACATTCACTCCAAAAAATCTACCACTTACGGGCTATTCATGCCCGTGCTACCTCTTGGGGTGGCTTAATCTTCATCAATCATCAATCATTCTCGCTCACTGCTGAAGAGGATCCCGGGTTGGGATCAAAATATACCGTCTACATTTCCTCATATTTTCAAAATACTGTAGTGGGCTATTATTTTCAAAACTGTATATGTTTAGGTTACTGAGTTGACTGAATTTATCCTTGAACTATTAGCTCAGAAGAGCATTACTAACATCTTTCTCTTTGACAGTCACTAGAGCCACTTGTAACAACAGTGAGAAGTCTCTGCCGGAGTAACACCACTGTCATCATCAGCTATGAGGAGCGAACTACTGGAAACAAGCCTCAGCTTCAGAGTAGATTTTTTGAATTAATGGAAGAAAATTTCAGAAAGGAAAAAATCCCCTTAAAAGAACAACATGAGCTGTACAGAAGTGATGACATACATTTATTCAAATTTCATTTAAGATATGAAAATGGGAATGAAAATAGTTGGTGACTTTTTCATTTACATGCTAATAAAATGTTGTATTTTAATTTTTTTAAGTTTACCTGTAGCATTTTTAGCTAGTCTTTAGTTCTAGTTGTCAGAAGATGATAGGGGCCTAAAATTTTTGATAGTTTGTGATGGGCTTTTCTGAGAAAAGCCCCTTGAGGTTCCCTGAAACTGTCCCCCAACACAATGATATAATTCATTGTGTTGGGGGACAGGAAGCCAGAGTGTATTCATACATGTTAGGCCTTTTTTTTTATCAAAGTCTTTGCCCAGGATGCAACCCCACAAAAAGCAGACTAACTCCTGAGTACCTACTTGCTGCTAGGTGAACAAAGGCATGTGGTGAAAGGAAATGTGCCCAACCATTTCTGTCCCGCCCGAGATATAGTGCCATACTATTAGGCGCCATCTTTTGTGGAGTTCTATTGGCCTATCAGGGAACCACGAGCCAGAACCTGGCCTCCCTCAGGGAGGTACAGGGATCGGTGTCAATATGGACACCTTACATTTAAAGTTAATCATGTC